GCAGTGCAATGCATTTTGGATGAGATTTACACGATTTACATGCATCACTGTTCATCCGTGATTTGCTGAAAACCACACCAAAAAGCACCAAGGATTTCATTTTTTAAATATACTTCTAATTTTGAACATAATATTGCATTTATTTTATTTGGGTTGTTTCATTTTTCAAACTTAAGTTAGATCTGTATGTGACTCTTGGTAGTGATCCAATGTTTAGGGTAAAATAACTTTATTTTACCTAGATCCTTGAGTTATTCATATTCTTTGAGAATTTTTCCTGACCCTTATGTTCTCTTTGCAGATCCAGGGTCAATCAGGAAGTTCACCTTTAGTACTAATATTGCAGTGATGTCATCATCCCTTATCCAATCAAAATGCCTAGTATTCATTGAGAAAAATACTAGGTGTTCTCTGAATAGCCACGTGCAACCACATACTCTGTATCAACAGCACCCTATATTTAATTATTTCTGGGCAAGTGCCCATCAGGCAGTGAATGCCAAAAGCAGTGTGAAGCATGATATCCCTGACAATGACGAAGACAACAAACACCCAAAAAAAATTAATTAAGAGACTAAAAGAAAAAGCTCTCACCACTCAGATATTATCTACAAACCTTTGCTTTCAAGAAACTAAGCTGGCTGAAGGCAGCATCTTCACCCTGGCATGACTTCATAAATGGTGGTCTAGTGAACACTGAGATGCTAATTTTCAATACAAATGGTGAATTAAGAGCCAATTTTGCAGGCACAATATTTGCAGCTGTTCATATACCCTGAAGACACTGTAATGCACTGTAGTAGGGCTCTTCTACAACTGGGCAAATTGCCAAGATATGTCCCTCTTCCTGACAGCAGTATCACATTACCTTTCTGGCGGCCTCCTGTGGAATTGGTCTTCCAGGTCGTTTCTGACAGACATTGGAATGAGTCCTCACTGCACCTTCAGTTGCCCCCTTTTTACTCTCTACACCCCCATCCCTTGGTACAATCTTACAGTAGCTGGGGGCGGTCTGGTCTTGGAGTGGAAAGTCCGTGAGTCACTGAGAGAGGCGATTATGTTCTTAGCCGCTAGTTACCTTTCAACCAGGTCCACGAGTTTGTCCACTGTTTCCAGATCTCTGTGACTCTGTGGTCTTGCAGATCAGTTCATGACTACATATTCCACAATTTATGATCATGGTAAAGCCTCGGACTGCAATCACTTCCTGGTCAAATGGATGGGATCATACATTTGTGACCTGGGTTGTTTTCCCCCCTTTATAAGTCAAGTTGTAAAGACGTTGAACCCAGAGAGCACAGGTTCCAGGTCAGAGTGGGACCACCAGTCCATCCCACTGTGCTTTAGGTCAACTTTCCCTTTCAGCGATAAGTGGTCAAAAACACCTGTGTGTCATCATTCACATCCATCTTTTGGCTTTAAGTGACTTACTCAGAAAGACAGTGTCTCTGTGGAAGCTGCTGCATTACTACCTCATTTTGTTGCTGGTATCTCTGCTCCTGCTCGAACAGCAATTCCCTGGGGCAGGCCTTGGCTTGTTCCAGGGCAACTGCTTCTACGCCTCTTGCTCCAATTGTTAATTTGCCTGATTTTGCACGGTATTCGCCTGGTGTTGATTGGCGTTTGCCAAAACAATCTGTCTCAGTAACTTATCCACGCTGAACTCAACAGCACCTGCTTACACAGATGCACAGTGGGATTGTGTGACTCTCTGGATGAGTACAAAAAACTTTAAACAGGCACAGCTAACAGTTCTTGGTGAAACACATGTGCAATTTATTTAGAAAGACTACATACACTATGTACAGGATCGAAAACAGAAAACCAAAAAGAAAACAAGAAACTAAAAACCAGGCCATTTGGCAACTCACTAACATACAGGTTCCCTGGCTAACGGACCTGAAGCAACCTACTGATGCAACTTACTGATGCCGAGGCACCTAAGTCTCTGCAAATAAAGCCCTTGCCACATAGGATGTGCCTCACCAAACATGTGCTTTATTTTACCATGCAGGTCCTCCAGAGCTCTCCAGTCTGACATACACAGGGAATATTTCCAGGGTGAGGTAAAATCCCTGAAGAGGCTGGGAGTTTATATAGAGCCCAAAACTATCACGCCTACTTCAGCTGGGCTTGTTGCCTAATCAGCCCAAACAAACTCAACTCCTTCAGTTTATCAATACAAAGAAAATATTCAGTGCGCTGCCAGAATCTGGGACACATGTACCTCGCGAATACAGTACCTCTGATGATCTGTTGCTGATATGCTGATAGTTCATAGTTGAACTGTTTTAGGGGTTTAGGTACTGTTAGGTTAGTAGTTAAAGTTATGCAGATAACTGAGTCATAGTTTAAGTCTAAATAGTCAATTTATAAAGCAGAGAATGCAATTTTCCCAAACATTCTCTGGTGGAGAACCATCCAGATCCATGTGTTTTAAATGGCGAAAGTGTGTAAAAATGTCACATTCTCTGTCATATAAATAGAATCCTAAGTGATAATGGGTAATTATTTCTGTTAGGTTAAACTGTAGGGTGCATGCTTTTGAAGGATTCAAAGGTTTATTTTTGTTGGATGCTTGGATATCGTTCTATATACATATGCTTTTGTTGTTGTAAACAGTGTGGGGTCCCTGGTACCAAAAGCCGGTGCCAAGTGCCTAGAATCCGAACACTCATTGCTGGAGTCTGGGGATCCACTTTTAGATCTGTTTATATGGCAGCAAATACTCAATATAGAAATGGAACACAGCTTCGGGGAAAGTCTTACATTTTGGAATTGGAGATAACAAAAGTGTTGTTTGCTATCTCTTCAATAATACAATTAATCTTCGCAATGTATAACAAACTACATCTCTTGCCAATGTATTACAAACTACGTCTCTTGCTTTGATATTGTTTTCAAAGAGAATGTCTGCTGCACTCTTGGCACTTTTGATATTTCAGAAGTCTTTTTTTCCAAGGCAGCTCTTTGCCATCTGCATAGGAAGGTACAAAATGGTATGTAAAAGTGGAATGAACACAGGGAGCGTTATGTCCATGAAAAGCTAACACAAGCAGTGTAAGGGGCGTTTTTATCAGGTGAATATGAGGAACTACTGACCACTAGTCATGTAAAAAAAAAAAGGGCTGCAATTAGCAACCTTTATAAACGGCCCTTTTGAAGGTGTGTGGTCTAAGCAAATGCTGGGTACTGCAGCGAGAGGTCACGGGAGAGAGGAGTGAGTCAAGGCTTTGCATCACAATTTATCTATGAAATCACATTATTTGAAGTTACTTTATGTCTCTGCATAGGGATGTCGCTTAACTTTGTTGCAGGTGGTGTGTTGGCACAAAGAGTAGCCTATACACATGGTTTTTAAAATAAGAGCTATCTATATTTAGCTGTGACTTGCTCTCTTCCTTAATTGCCTACCCACATTTAAGCTTTTTCCCATTACTGACTTGCAATGCCCTGCTTTGCACTCCGTTTCTCTGCGTTTAGCCGTCTTAATAAAAGCACAAGGCTTTCCAAGGCCCCCCGATATCCAATGATCTGATGAGTGGTGGCATAACGTTCAAGAAGTATCAGGAGAGGCTCAGAAACCACAAAGTGAATGAAGCAGAAGCAGCAGGATTTTTGCACTATAGCGCCACAGGTACAAATTCCTCTCCAGCAGGAAAGACAGTAAGCAGCATAGTATAACAACGCGAAATCTCACTTTAAATGCTGTGAGACTAGCAGGGCATCACATCTCACACTACAGCTATACAGCTATGGGGCTCAAGCAACAGAAAGTGCACTGCTGTTTTTCAAGAAGAATTGTAGTCAAAAGGTAAATCTTTCAGGGTACTGCTTAGGCACAATAACCATTTGTAGATGTCCCCAATAAGACAGCAGATCTTTACTTTTTGGGTACAGATTGACTGTATTATTATTATTAGTAGTAGTAGTATTATTATGTAGTGATAGCCATATACAGTTAGACTGGTATGTGGCTGTATTGGAAATTTGGGGAGTTGTATATTGCAGTGACATATCTTCCCTTGACCATTCATCTTGCTTTGGCTTGTATACATATGCCAGACATAGTTGACACAATACTTTAATGAGCAAGATCATGCCAGATGGTTTATAAACATTATGACAGACTGAAATGAGGGCTGGCTTATACTTAGGATCATTGTGGTGTATCTTGTTTCCATTGCAAAGCTGATTATGCATGGCAATTTTTCACCATCATTTGCAGCACCATGACTAAAGTTGTGTACATCCAATCTTTAAGTTACACATCTTTATTCACATGTTCTTTGCCTGATAAAAATGTAAACCTGTGGCAATTTCATTAATTTCACTAAAGGACCATATAAAAACTTGCCACATGGTAGTGGTCGGACAGAGGTCAACTTTTACTATTAAAGTCATAAATAACTTCAGCTGCGCATACCTCTCAAACTAATGAATTGTGTAGACTTATGCATATTTTAAAGCTCATCTCCAGGATAAAGCCCCCACCTTCAGATTGCCCCCCACTTATCTGAATTGTGAGGTGCTTCTCCCTGCAGGCTTCTGGCTTGGTTTGATTTTGACATGGCTGTGCTTGTCCCTGGCTGCACAGCCATGTCATCCAGGGATCTGTGAATGTAAGATTGCAAGTTCCATCTGGATGGAATGTAGATCTCAATGGAGCACAAGTATGGTGATGTCACCGCACTTGTAGTCTATTGATTACTTCCTCTGGCCCTACAATGGTAGGTCTGTACCTCCGTATGAAGCTGGGGCTAGTGAAAGAATCTGCAGGAGCCTGTGCATTGCACCTGAGATGGACTGATCATGTTTGTAATGCTCTGTAGGCTCCCATTCCAAAAATGAATAAATGCACATCTTTCTTTTATCAATGTACAGTATGTGAAGTTATTATATTTTAAAAGGTGTACTATGCCTTTTAAAACAGTATTACATATGCTGTCGTTTATAAATATATATTTAACATTAAATGTTTTGTTTTGCTCTTGCTATAGGTGGCATCCCGAGTTCCAAGGCAAATTCCCTTTTCATCAAGAAGAGTAAGTGCTACATGAACTCCTTTCTTATACAATCACCTATCTGTTCTTCTATATTTATGATGTTTAATTCCAACTTAGATCATTATTATTACAAGTTAGATTCATTATTAACAAGCCAAATAACAATATACTGCAGTTCATAGGAAGCAGAATCAGTATCAGATATAACAAAACACTACGGGTACCTGCATACAACTGCCCTTAGCACGGTATTTAAAATATCATGGGAGGAATTTACTAAAACTGGAGCAGATGGAATCTGAAGCAGCTGTGCACAGTAACCAATCCGCATCTAGCTTGTTAAATTAACCACCTCCCGTCCAGCGGCCGTACATAAACGGGCGGACCGGAGCCTTGTAGATGGGCGTTTTAAGATGTCGCTCTCCACCCCCACACATGCCCGCGCCCTAAAATGTAAACAGCCAGCTATGGCTGTTTAAATACAAGCGTTCCGGCATCTGTAGGGATGGCCGATCGCTGGTAGTTTGTGGGGGCTTTCCCCCCCCCCCCTGCGCAATTTTAAGGCTTGACATGTTTGGTGTCTATTTACCATTCAAAATTTTCTGTACTTTTTGGTTATATAGTAAAAAATAAAACCCCCAGTGGTGATTAAATACCACCAAAAAAAGCTCTATCTGTTCCCAAAATTTTTTATAAAATTAATTTCAGTACAGCGTTGCATGGCGGAATAAATGCCAGCGATGCTGCCAAAAAGGGATGTAGGATTCCTTCCTCCATGAACATGTACCACAGGGGGTAATGGCTTCCTCTTTCTCAGTTCCTAAGATGGGGTCTGAGTTCCCAAGACTCACCTGTTCTCCTTAGGCTGAGGAATGATGGGCATTTTTATTAAAGCAAACCAGTCCAAAGCTGTTATAAGCAGAGATGTTTTCTTCATGATGCATCTAGTGGCTGAATTTGATACTGCAGGTAGGTAAGCCTAATTTTGTTTCCTGCTCGAGGCAGAAAAAAAAATATGTATGCATTACTCTCTATTGACTGCATCTGATAGGTGTGTCAGCCGGACACAAGATTACAGACTGGTATAAAATGTAAAACAGCAGAAAGGCATCATGGCACACTCACAAAACCAGCATGTAAAACAACATGTCTCACCACTAAGGATAATGACAGAGGTTTGGATACACGTCTTCAGCCGAGGATGTGTAAGCCGCACTGCCGCGCCAAGGCACCTCTTATAGTGCGGTCCTAACTCTAAACTATGAGAGTCTCCATCTTGGAGCACATGGGGGCAGAAGATATCAAATTGGGTGCAGGTTTGTCAGGAGGAAGCCCAACCTCCTTAAAAGGTACAGAAACACACAATGGATCCCGCACATCCTATTGGCAGCTGAGAAACCCCATGCGTCGCTGCACCAAATCAGTCAAGCAAAACAAACCAAGACGTGTATCCAAACCTCTGTCATTATCCTTAGTGGTGAGACATGTTGTTTTACATGCTGGTTTTGTGAGTGTGCCATGATGCCTTTCTGCTGTTTTACTGTTCAAAGCCCATTTCGTGTGCACCTTACTGTATAACTGGTAACAAATTGTTGAGTGCGTTTGTCGTTTGTTTTGCCTGGTATAAAATGTAGCCCCTGTAGTAGAGCACCCCCATTATATTTATCCTTCTTGAGGCACTGATTCTCTGGGATGGTGCAAAGGTTACACCTAAATGATTCCTAACTGACAGGGCACATATAAAAATAAACCGTGATGCAATCTAAAACCATACAACTATTATTCAGAAAAATAATCTGTTAGTGTACCTTTGCTAGTCCACCCTAAAACCATGATTATAAAAAATTGCAAACCTGCAAAAACATATTTAGTGGGCTACAAAACTCATCTCGGGCATATAATATATACCCTTGATGCCCAACCTGTGGCCCAGAAGTCAGGTGCGTTCCCTTTGGCAATTAAACTTCCATTGCACTCCTGACCAGATACAACCCAAAACCCTTTGGCAATTAATGTGCAGACCTCAGGGCCCCTGCAGACAGTAGCCTTTGTTTTCTTTGCTTGAAATGTACTCAGGACAGTGAAGGAAAATATTCTTTAAACTGGGTTCTAGTAGTTAAATGAGTTGATTTATTCATTTTACAATATCCTACTTTTTATATATTGTCCATCTATAAGAATGCTGGAGAGCACTGTATTATTTCCCCTTTACAAAACAATGCTTCTACATTTATGCTCTATACAAGTTTCATAAAATGTGTTTGTGCCACATTTGATATTTCACTAAGCAAGATCCATTGTAAAAGATCAGAGGGAAAAAACCAAGAGGAAACTCTTATTTCTGGTGAGGTTATAGGGTTTGCAATTCTTAGCAAAGCTTATTTTAGTGTGAACATGACTTGATATACAACTTTTTTTACAGGAAATCAAGCCCCTGGTTTCTGAATTCTCTGTGAAATCAACCATTATATCACGCTATGCATTCACTGCTGTGTCCTGCACCATGGTGAATCGGGCAGCTCAGGCTAAAGATGTTGTATTCCAGATGCAGATTCCAGCAGCAGCTTTTGTTTCCAACTTTACAATGTAGGTACCTATAAAAATAAATGATTGGTCACCGAGAAGTTTATTCTTCGGCTACAATGAAAATTGGAATTGTGTTTCTTTTTGGAACTGCTCAAGGCAAATCATACAATGAAGCATACTATATATGATATTACAGATAATAAGCTGAAGAACCCAATGCAAAAAAACCTTAAAAACAAAGTAAAAAAGTACTGACTCCTACATGTAACGGGTAATACCAGTTTAGCCCACAATCGTCTTCAACATAATGCTTTGTGCTTACAGAATACTATAAGAACATTCCAACATTTGGACCAAATAGACCTTTCTTTCTACATATTTAGACATCATGGCGCAGATGCCCATGGGGTCGCCATTGCTGACTTTTTTCTTCTAATGATGCTAGTTGCCTGTCTGTTTTGCTTATATATTGGCTTCAGTACTTCCAGAATCAGTGGCTCAGAACAAGTATCGAGATCAGGACAGTAATGTCAGAAGTTCTTATCTGCATATGTATTAAGTCACTGGGAAAGTGACTTAATACACTGAAACCAGAGCAGTTACAGCCAGGCAACTGGCATTTTTAGAATGAGAGGTCAGCAATGGCAACCTTTAGAGCTTTCTCAGGACACATTCCCTTTAAATGTGTTCAATGAGAGCTCAGCACCAGAGTCTCTGGACTGACCTTTCAATACCTTAAGGGTACAAATAAAATTCTGATTACGGGGGACGTTTTAAAAGAGGGCTAACTAATTTTTTTTACTTAACACTCTCTGTTTTGATTTGTATTTGACTATACTGATGTACAGTATAATCTGCAGTGTTAATAGATCTTAAGGCTTAGTTCAAAAAGAAACAGTGTGTTTCACTTTTTAGTATTGAACGAGCCTGTTGGATACCAATGATACCTTTGCTGGTGGGCTCGCCACCTTGCTCGCTATTGATACGGCTCTTTCATTGTAAAGACAAAGAGGCTATTTTTTTATATGCCAGACAACTGTACGACATTACCTACAATGGAAATCACATTGCTATCTTCCCAAATTTTTCTACCAACACACAAAAGCAAAGCATTTACTGCAGCCAAGCACAGGTTACTGAATAGAAATTTGCCTTATAGCATGCTATATCCTGTGAAGAAGAATAGTAGTGAGTGGGAAGACCAACTTTTTCACATCTGTGAAGAAAGCTGCAGACTACTTGCATCAGTGCTTCAGATCTGATCTAATGTGACTCCCTGGAACATCTTGTCTTACCTTGTTTGTCCTCAAAATCATGTCCATGAGTAGCTCTCCTTTTACTGTTATGTATGTCCCAACTACCCTCACCTTTCTTTGGGGCTGCACTTTGCTAGAGACCACCTGTACAAGGGGACTATGCATTTGCCTATTGCACTCTACAGTATAGGACACACACATATTCTTTCTTTGACTGTCCTTGTCTCCATGTTCACTGATATGTGGATGCTTGTGCATTGCTGCCCTTGACTGGGTTTACCTCATTTTCTAAGTTGCCTCAATACGTTCCCCGCCACATTCAGCTAGTGTTATGGGACTTATGTTTTCTTTCCTTTTTATCTTGTCCTGCTTATAAGTTCTGTTTACTTTTGTTGGATGTCATTGGAACACATCAAATGTTATTATTGATAACCGTGCATTTTGCTATGCATGGTCTGGGTTACTCACTCACTCGTCAACCTCCCTCCCTCTTCTGAGAGTGCCTCTCTTGTGGCAGGGAACAACTCACTGTTTCCCTGGATGCACATATTATATATTAGATAAAAATTACTAGATTCTCAGTTTTCTTGTGGGAAGTTCAGAATCTGAATATTAAGAGTAGGCACTCCATTGTCTTTAACTATTTTAAGAAGTATATCCTCCACATCATCCTTTTACTAGAAATGGGTCCAAACTTATGGCATTTAAACTGCCACCAGTTTCACAGATTTCACAGACGTTTCTTTGTATGATGTATCACAAACAGTACCCTTGACTGGAAACAGCTGAACTCAATCATTTGGAAGGGGGAGTTCAAATACTGAACTGTAGTTTCCCTATAATCTAATGTTTAAACCTATTTAAGATCTGTTGACAAAAAAAGAGGGAATGAAATACATGACAAAATGTAGGGCTATGCCATTTTTTCCAGACTGAGTACGAGTACCGTTACTTTTCCTCAAGCACTCACTGATACCAATTCCAAATACCTTGTTTTTTAGTGTCATGTGACATTTTTTCTAAAACAATACAGACTAATGTTTTTAGGACAGTGGTGGAGCAACAGGGCCCAGTCCCAGCTGCAACCGCTGCAAACATAGTAGTTCTGCCACTGGCTCCAAAGCTGTAGAGAGACTACAAATCCCAGCAATACATTATATAGCAATGAAAAATACCCCCAGCTAAAGAGGACTACAAATCCCAGCAAAACTTTATACAGCAATGCAAAATACCACCAGCTAGAGAGGACTACAAATCCCAGAAATTCATTATATGGTCATGCAGAATACCACCAGCTAGAGAGGACTAAAAATCCCAGCAATACATTTTACATCAATGCAGAATAATATGAAGCTACGTACTCTGTGGTGCTCACCAGGGCTGTGCGGAGTCTCCGGAGGATGTGTGAGGTCTTACCAGGGCTGAACAGGTCTGACCAGGGCTATGCGGTCTCACCGGGGCTCTGCGGGGTCTTACCAGGTTTGTAAGCAGTCTCACTAGGGCTGATCAGGGTTTCCCGGGGGCTGCATGCAGTTCTCACCAGGGCTGTGGAGGAGGAGGAGCAGATGTTCAGCTGGCCACCGCTGTAAACAGCCACCTCAAGGTCCTCACAAGCTGCCATGAGGTCCACAGCAAAAGTGCGCGACCTTACGGTAGCCGAATCCATTAAAAGATGTAAAGCGCTGGTATCAGTGCTTAGTATCAGAGCATTTTCACAAGTATGAGTAATCATGAAAATGCCCAGTATAGGCAATGATACCAATACTGGTATCAGTATTGGCCCATCCCTAACAAAAAGTTTTATTATATAAATAGTAAATAACATACATATGCTAAAATAAAGAATTGCAGTAATCACGCACATTATTGGCCTTGTTAAAAAAAAAAAGCCAGTGAGAATACTCGACACTTCCAGGTTTGGCCTAACAACCAATTGCTAGGCATAGTCACATGGCTGGATGCGTAACGTCATTGCTCTTTTGGAACACAGCCAATCTTTTCTGCACCAGCTGCAGTAATGGAGCAGAAGAAAGGTGAGTATATGGGGGGGGGGTGTAGTTTGCTGCATAGTAAACCACAGCAGTTCATTAATTAGTTTTCACTTGGTGACTGGAAATGCTCTTAAACAGAGGCAATTGAAACATAAAATTACATAACATTAAGTAATTTTTATTCCATATTAACATACAATTGGGATCTTATGAATTCCAGGATTCTTGGAGGCAAAACATATTACAGTGAAGTCACCTGGAGAAAGAAGACTGGAGATAACAATATACACGACTATGAGAAAATTAATGGTGACAGGGGGTAAGTGATCATGCTAAAATGTAGATTGGGAATTCTCGAATAATAACAAAGTAAATTTCTAAAAGTGACTCGGCCACCTAAAAAAAACTGTTACCAGGTATAAGGTACAGGTAGATACCATTGGCATGTAGTTTCCAATGATATGCTTTAAATGCTTAGTTCAATCTAATCCAACACTTTCTGATAGAGTTGAGGCTTGCTTGCTCCCTCTTACCTCCCACACATTTGTAGGCCCATCACTATGATTGGTTGCCCCTCTGGCCAATAGAACATAAAGTGGTGGGCAAACTTTGTCAATACAAGGGTCAGAGCCTTGCTTGATCAGAATACCCCAGCATTTCGGCATAGCATACAGAGGAAAAGACTTTAAAGAGGATTTCTCACTTTTTATGACATTTAACCATTTTTGGCCTTATGTAAAAAAGTGGCCATATCAACTTCCCAGCTTTAAATTCCATATTGTGTCATGCATGAAAGGAAGAAGGTCTTTGGTTGAAGTAGGCAACAGAAACGGTTCTTTCTGTTGCCCCTTTATATATTGCAAAGAGTAATTTGAGGCTTTTGAATGTTTTTTTAATCTCCTCTGTGTACAAAAAAAGTCCACAAATAAAAATCATTAAAGATTAACTTCGACAGAACGGAGTGGGGGATGGCCAGAGCCTCTTTGGGGTTTTTATTGGTGTCTGTGCTACCGTTGGTGAATATTTCTTTCACTTTCTATGTGGTCACCAGGACAGGATATGAACAGAATCCTTCCAACAGACACACACAATTACATTATTTTATTACAGAGTGGGAAGGTGGTTAACTTTTATTGCTCTGTGTGCCCCTATTGGGGAGATTCTTTTCACTTCCTGTCTGGTCACTTTGACAGCAAGGAGGAACCTTGCACTCAACCTGAACATAGATAGCAGTAAAAACCTGGCAGCGGCTGTAACCCTTCACCACGCTACTCAATACTAGAAAATAAAGTTTTGTCTGGGTTTTAAACATCTCCCTCATGGTACTTGATCTTCATGTGTTTCTAAATGTTTATTTTCAGAGAAAATGAAATGGAAACATTTAATGCATCAGCATTCATTCCTGGAAGAGACAAAGCGGTTTTTCTGCTCATGTATGAGGAGCTGCTTCAAAGACGTCTTGGAATGTATGAGCATGTTATCAGTGTCCGTCCACAGCAGTTAGTCGGCCGCCTATTGGTGGAGATCAATATTCTGGAAGCATCTGGGATCACTTCCCTAGAGGTTCTGCCACTCCAAAACAATAAGCAGAAAAGTAAAACTGGTGAGTACTGGATTACATATACTGTATATACATGTACACACATACATGATGTCATTAACCTGTCATAACCCCAAGGTGCCAGAATCTATGTTAGAAGACATCATTACATTAATGACATCAGAATCATTTTAGGAAAATATTTCTAGATGTAAATCTGGTCCTGTTAAAGGGAATATATCATGATTTTGTGCAAACTTTAAAAAAAAATACATTTAAAAAAAATTTTTTTTGTTAGTAAGAAACATTTCATATAAATATGAAATTATAAGAAATATTTAATATTAAAGGAGAACTATGGGGTGCACCTTTTTTTGCATTTTTAGTTTCCTTATAATACAGGAATACATTTTGCTGTACTCCTGTAATCAAAAATGCACCATGAGCTCACAATTCAATGTAATATACTGGCTGGGGCTAAGCTCTGTGCTGAGCAGCTATCCCGACAATACTGTCAGGATCCTCCTCTCCCATTGAGTGACAGCAGCCTGTAGGAACTGCTGCGCGTTCATGAGAACTTGTAGAGAGCAGCAGATCAGGGCACATCCTATCAGAGTTAACACTTGCACATCCATCCTGCAATTTGTCTTTCGTTTCCCCCTCCTCTCTCTACTCCACACTGCTGTCTCCTGATAATACACATAACATATCAGCTCTAAGACCGTCAGTACAGGTTTGTCCTTGTGTCCTCACCCTCCTTCCCTTTTCTGTCTTTATCTCTTCTGCTCCTTGTGTATGTCCTAAGACACCAGAGGGGAAGGGGGTGAGGACGCGAGGACGGAGAATAACACTCAGTCTTAATGCCAGTCTTAGTGCCGATGTGGTATGTGTATTGTCAGGAGGCAGCAGCGTGAAGGAAAGAGGGGAGGGGGGAACGAAAGTCATACTGCGGGATGGATGTGCAAGTGTTCATAGACCTGTGACTTGACATAAATAAACTCTGATAGGATGTGCCCTGAGCGTCTGCACAGGTTTTCATGAACACGCAGCAGCGCCTACAAACTGCTGTCACTAAATAGCAGAGGAGGATCCAGGCAGTATTGTCGGAATCGCTTCTCAGCACAGAGTTTATCCACGTCCACGTATATTACATTGCAGTCCATACAGTATATTGGAAAATTTATAAGCATCACTGTAGTCTGGGGGTTTAAACCGTCTAATGAATCAACGCATTTTGCAGTGTGGGTAACCGCTTCTTCAGGATTCGGTCAAAATTGAGAGATGAAATTGAAAAGAACAGAAACCAGAGTAGGTAATAATGGTACAGTATGTGGTGTTAAATTCTCATCTCATCCCTTTTAGTTCAGTGCCAAAGGTGGAGCATTCAGCGGTCATGCATTAAGGACCACCTCAAGGCCATCCATCCAGAGAGATACTGTACACTGTATATCAATACAGCTTATCTCACTAACAAAATTGGCATGACATTGGTATCACTACAATAATGAGCATGTAAGCATGCATATCCCCTATTATATCACCTTCAAATATTACTGGCTAACCAGTGATCATGTAAAGAAATCAGCAGAGAATAATGTCCAATATAGGAGACCAGGATACTCTCTCACAGAAGCTGGCTGAGGTCAGAAGCTAGTCCCACCATGCAGAGCAAATCCAACAACAATCCATATCTGTATCATTGTCGTACCTGAAAAGTCCTGTTGGTTCTTTGGAATCGTTTTATTCATTTTTACATAGTTATATTACATATTTACAGGATGTTGGTGCATAAATTATTACACACATTTGTGAATGAATCCATGGAATGACTCATTCCTCATAGAAGAGTTCAGTCTAAAGGTTCAATCAGACAAACTAAGCCTCAAAGCTAACCCATAGTGCTCAAGAAATCTTTTGTCCTATTTACTTGTAAAATAAACATTGTATACAGATTCTAATAAAGCAATACATTCAAAACATAAGTAAAAAAGGAGCATAAAGTTAACCGAAAACTATTACAGTGTTCTGTTAAACTACAGCAAAGAAGAAGTGGGTTTAATGCCTCATTATAAATGGGTGTGTGTGGGCTGTTAATGACCAGCAGTTCAGGAAACAACACCTATCCATGTGCTCTTCACAATTGTGTTTATTCTGGAAAGTCACACAATAGATCATTTCCTCCATCACAGAACTTCCTGACTTCACCAACAAAAAAAATGATTTATGTTTCTATGGAAACAGCTTCTGATACAGTGACCTCTGGGGAGATGATTATATGACAGAGAGTTTGTCAGCTACTGTTATATCATTGTATCACAATATATTACCCAAAATATAGTGTGTTATAGCTCATGTCAGCAACACATGTACAATGTTCATTTACATGCAAATTCGGCAGTATTTCTTAAAACAATGTTGCAAATTTAATACAAGATACATCCTTAAAGTGTATCTTAACACAAAAATAATAGTGGCTACATTGTTTTTTCAAGTTCTTTTCCTTTATTTTTACCTGGTGATCATTCCAGTAATACACTTCCTGTCCTAGACTACACAATTCTGTCCCTTTCCTTTTTTTCCATAACATTGAGGGGTTGTTTCTGTAGCTGTTCAAGAACAAGGTAATTGATTAAAAAAAATCAGCCGTAGAGTACAAGAAGTTATAAGCTACAAGATTTCCGGCAAGATTAACAGGTAACTTTTGAACTTATCAGATATAACAAAACACTTTCAATGGTGTATTTAAAGGCCCAAAAGAGACAAAATAAATGAAGTAAAATGTTAAGGTTTACATACACTTTAAATTATAGTTCCACTTTTGCAGTCATATCTAAAAAAAAAAAAAAAAACATTATATGTTATGTGTTTCCTATTTACATAGCTTAATTAAAAATAATGTAAAAATATATATATATCTTACATTGTAGCTGTTTCTTTGGTCAAGGCCTTTGTGCAGATTCCAGGCTACTGTGAGCAGTTTGAAAGTGAAAGTAGATGGTGAAACTGAGGGTCAGTTTAAGCGTCTTCTCATTAACATACAATGCCTCTAAATCTTTAAGACTTTGTTAGGACAGACAGTGTTGAAATCTAGTTTCCAACTGATAATAAAATCTGCCAGCACAGTACAGACAGGGTTAATACTGGGTAAACATAGCTTCCCAAAGCCCCCTAATTAACATTACACGGGGGGATGCTGGGTATGATTTTTAAGCAGAGACAATTTGGGCAGAAAGAAGTATGGAGGCAATGTCAGGTGGAGCATTCTTATTTTACATATCAAACTGACTGATTAGAATTTGGATGGGCGGCTTGGGAACAAAGGCATTTATTAGTAGGATTTGTTGGACACAGTAGCACAATAGTATGATTTTTTTTGTTAAACTGTTGACTAAACTCACACACTAAGGGCCCGATTTATAAAGCAGCAGTATAACCTTACTATGGTGGTCATACCACTGCTTAAAAAACTACTAAAAGATTGAACATTTATTAATGGCATGATAAATACTGGCTGTATTGTGGGGTAAACACTGCAATATCCAGAGGAGAGCAGTATCCACTATAGATAAGCACCATATTAAATATAACTAGCAAAAAAAAAAAATCAAAATAAGTAAATAGATGGATGGTATTAAAAGCGTTGTTGTAACTACAGCATGTATGTCATTGAATAGTGAGTTTGTTTTATTAGTTTTCTGCTAGGGAATTAAAATAAAGAATACCTTTGTCTTGCCCAAACTCATAACTGGCAAGAAATGATTTGCATCTGTTGGTCTTTTTTTTTGCTGACATCAAAAGAAGAATGAGTACATGCATCAAATAAGCAATCAGGGAACTCCTTACTTCACTACCAATGATGTTTTATTTTGTATTCCGCCTTGTTTGCATGATCTTTTTGGCAGCCAATTAAAGACATTTAGAGTTCTCATCAGATAATTATTTCCTACAATAATAGAATTGTGTACTCTTTGGAGCAGATACGTAGGTGGCTTTCATGCAGTAACATTGCAATAACAAACATTCATAGGAACAGATAGTTTGGTTTTCCATAAATATACTTCCTTTGTACTTATCGTGTGGAAGTAGCATTGCACTTTTTAAACACAGTACTGTACTCTTTCTTACAATGGGTCGTTGTTTGGCCTTGCTATCAGTCTAAACAGAGGAACTGGACTGGAGTCCGGACATGCAGATATGTCAAGGTGTCACATATAGTAAAGGAACTAGCTTTTTAAGTGTTTCTTAAAATATACAGAAATGTGAGCCATGATCAACACTCATATGACTTTCTGGCAGTCAAAGGAAAATTAAGGCCACAAATCTCCTTTTCAGGCAATGTACTATGATAAATATGGTTGTTGAATCACTCCTCTTATTACAAACACAATCTATTATGCACTAGGCACTTGATTACAAGAAAGGAAACAAGAGATACTGCAGAGGGACTTTGTTTCTGAGCTCTATATCATTGTGAGCATGTAAAACAGCCTGGAAGCACCTAAAGGGACCACCCTTGTTTACACAGGTGCAGCTTTTTAATTACTCACAATTCAATCTGCTATTTAAAGCAGCTCTAAATCCGATCATTACATTTCCATCTCTAAAATTATATTTAACATGTTATTGTACTTCAAAAAGTTGTTTTCAGTCTCTGTAAACCTTTCAGTAAAAGAATTGTGGAGATCCAGCCATGAAGGTCCTTGGACAGGCACTTCCTGTTATGGGGTGACAGCTGTGTCCCAAAGGTGATGTTGGCTACAAGTGGCCATGCCAATATTGTGCACGCATAACCCCACTGCTGTCACTATAAGGATGCCAGTCCAGTTGGTTGATGTGGAACCAACGCTGGAGTGAATGCATGTGTACAGAAAATGGTTGAAAGGGGATGGAGAAATACTAAAGTGCAAAAAAGATAGTCCTGTGAAAACAGGACTAAATAAACAGAACAACATTAAAATTGTTTGTTATACAATAGGCTTTAGCAAACTAAACGTAAGCCACTTAGGGTTAGATCTACTTTACCACCTGGTAAGGTCACTGCAGCAAGGAGCAATAATATTACTTATTTATAAATTATCAAATAATGTTATCTATATATGTTAATGTTTTCATTTTGTTTGTTTGTATGTATTTATAAAAGGTACATACGAAATGTAGCTTTGTAGGTTATACTGTTGATGTATATTTTAATCTAACAGGAATTTATTATGCAGACACCCTAACAAAAAATATAGCATTTATGTATTTTGTTATATCTGTTTCATAGGTTAAAAAGTTACCTCTTGATCTTGCCAGAAATCTTGTCAGCTGATAACTTTACGTGCTCTTTGTCTCTCATGATTGTTAACAGTTACATTGTTCTTAAAGTGTATTTCCACTTTTGCAGTCAAATTAGAGAAAACCCCCTCATATGTTCGTTATGCGTTCCTGTTCACACAGCATACTAAAAAAAATACTTAAAAAAAAGTCTCACTGCTTAGATGTCTTGTTAAATCAGACAAGATGGCTGATTCCAGGTTCTTCTTAGCCCCTTCACAGTGATCTGTCCTTATAGAAAGACTTGGGACTGAAGTTTGAAGATTGCATTTATCTGATAAGCTTTCTTAGCATACAATGGACAAGCCACCTCAGACACCTCACAGTCAGAATAAAGAAAAAAAAAAGAAAAATCAGTGTTTCTCTCCTGGGCGGCCGGGAGTGGAAGGCTCCCAGAGCACCTGGGAGATTTTTTTTTTTTTTTAGGGCAGCAGAACCGCCGAACAATAGAAAACTGTTGGGCAGAGCTAGCTGTCACTGCTAGCTCTGCACAATCGTTTTCTATTTACTTTTTTAAAACTTTTTTTACTATTTTTCTGTTCTGCTCGGTACCTCTGAGGGACCGAGCAGAACAGCCGAGCCGAATGGGCATTCCGCTATTCACTCACTGCTGTTCTGCATCTATAAGAATAGGCCGAACAGCAGTGAGAAGCCTGCCGGAGGTTCGGCTCAGCCGATCCAGATGTTGGATCGGCTGAGTCGAACTCCTTCTGCACTTCGGATCAGCCGAACATGCTGAGCATGTTCGGCCGACCCGAAGCCATGCGAAGCAAGCCGATGTACGGCTGATTTCAGCCGATATACGGCTGAACTCAGCCGTACCAGCCTGAAGTGAATAGCCGAACAGTGTTCGGCTCACTTCAATTTCGGTTCTGTCATTCACTCGGCTGCCTACGGCAGCTTAGTGAATAGACCCCTATGTATCTAACAATAGAACACAGAAAAGAGGTGCAATAAACATAACGACCACAAGATGGCAGCATATGAAACTAACTATACTATACATAATATGCAATAATACCAATATTAACTATGACTATGCATTGCATTCTCCTACAAAAGCTGTGACAGCACACTGTATGATTTAAAAAAAGCACACATTTTTAAAGAATCTCTATTATAAAAAAATATACTACAGAGCATTTTTGTATCTATGAGACTAGACAGGCTGTTGCCCAAATCCTATTACATGTTTCTCAGCACTGTAACACTGCTAAAATCAGCACAAACATGGAACTGTTGATTGAGGTCACTGTGACAACAGATTTTGTCTTTGTTTTTATAATTGCATAGTGAAGAAAAATGTGTGTCCATGTCAGAATGATTACCATACTAAAATTTCTAGGCTTTGTTTGTAGTATAATTTGTCACCGTCTGAAAGTAATCAACCACTAAGCATTTGGCATGTGCTCTTTCACTTAATAGATGATATCTCCCCTCCTCCATCAACGATTATTAACCAGACAGAAAATTTTGCAAGAATAACATTTGAACCCAGTGTGGTTCAGCAAGCAAAGATCACTCAAAATGGGAATCTAGGTGATTTTGTGGTTCGATACGATGCAAGAAGAGAGCTTAGCATTGGTGACATTCAGGTACGGATTCATAAAACTAAATTTTGCAGAGCATGCAAACAGTTCTTTTATAATCCAGTGCATCAGGTTCCTACTCTACCTTAATTCACAGCACATTCTTGCAAAGACGGGCATGATTAAGGTAATGCATTACTACATTTTTTTTTGCAATTGGTTTATTGTTTAATTGTGATTATATTTTTAGGTTTTGAATACAAAAGGCCAGTAGCAAGGCATTTAAAACTGATTACCAGACAATTAAAGTAAATGTTTACATACTCTAGCTGGATATCAATTGCTAGAGGAGAATAAGGGTGATTAATTTAGATAGTGATGAATGATGATCTCAGAGTGCTTTGATTGTTTACATCACCTAATAACTCAAAGAGGACATATGTTCAATTGTTGATGCTCTTGAAATAATGAGTAAAAGAAACACTATAATACTCACATTTCTTGGAGACAATGTTGCTCCAGGTTCACTTTACTGCTGGTCACCTATCTGAAAGCCAGATTATTTGGTCATGTGGTCTGTGCTGAACTATGATTCCCCTTCAACAGAAATCCCATGATCAGGTGCCTAAACCCTTAGGAATGTGGCCAGCACCAAAGAGAATCTAAAAAAACATGTTCTCCAGAAAAATGAAAATTTTTACAGCCTTTTTATTAGGCTTTACCTTAAAAAGACTTCTAACCTAGCTTTATGTTAACATTTGAGTACAGGTCTGCTTTAATTGGAGAATTGTTACTTTTGTGGCCACCAAAAAGCCTTCACAAGCTCTAAAGATTCATAGTAGAAATAGTTAGATAATGAGAGTGTGAATTGCTCACAATACATTGCTAATTTCTTCCAGGTATTAAATGGATACTTTGTGCATTATTTTGCACCCACTGACCTACCTCCTCTGCCAAAGAATGTGGTTTTTGTGATTGATACAAGTGCTTCTATGGTTGGAACTAAAATGAAACAGGTGAGAATAACTGAGCATGTTGATTGGTGGGAGCACTCTGTTGAAGAAATTAAACATTTAATTGTTAGGTAAAATAATTATTGTTCATGTTATCCTTTAGCATTCCTTACTGATAGCTAGGATAAGGTTTGCTTATTAACATGTTGTGTCTGCAGCTGGAAGAAATTCAGCACTTCAGTGGCATGGACAATCCATTCCATCCGTCATGCAAGAAGCTCCCACAGTCTTGTCAGTTTTTGGTAACGCAGGCTGGAACATGTGACTTTCCCATCAACTTCAGTGCTAATTTTTTTCAAGGTATATCAAAGTTAAAGCACAGAAAATGTCCATGGGAAACATAATATCATTCACTTGGTTAGAAGATTTTGATGGGTGATAGGTTTGTTTTGCAGAGTTTAATGGAGATAACTCTGTGCTTCCCTCTATTTCCTTATATGTTATAATTGGAAATAACCCAACTTTCAGTGAATATTTGTGTTCAAAAGGTCAGATGCCTCTGGACCTGACCAGCATAACACTTGCTACTCTTACAGTACTAGTACATGTTAGCTGCAGTGTGAATTAAAGATTGGAACAAGAAATGGTTGAACTACAACTAGGAAGCTTTTGAAATACAGTTCATCATACTTAACAGATAAAGAAAAATGGGCTTACTTACTAATGTCATACAAGAGTGGAATTTCCTAGTCGTACTAGATAGACTTTATACAAGAGAATAAACTAGGGATGTATTGGAGTAGAGGGTGGATCTATCATTGATTGAAATTTACTAACTGTATCAAAAGTTGAAAATTTATTGAATATGACTACAAAGTTTCTTCCCATTTAGTGTAGGCTGTTTATTAAAGTGACACCTGTAATGAGTTGTATATGCACCAACAGCAGAAACAACAAATTCCAATGTCCAAAACAATGTAAATCCAAACAAGGAAGGGCAAAATAAGAGATACATAGACAGGTGAAGTAGATTCATCTGAAGTTATATATTTGTAAACTTGTTTGTATTAAACCCACCAGTTTGTGTAGCTAAAATCATCTAGACGTTGAAGTGAACCATTGTTTATGTCTAGTGGTATGATGAAGAGGACTTTTACTTACTTGATCCCTGCTCCCCCTCAGTGCTCACCTCTCTCCCCTTCGCTCCAGCTACTCCAGCTTGCGGATTGCCCTTCAGTGCCCTCAATATAATGCAGGGCTTTGGGCCCTGATTTGTACATGATGACGTCAGCAGGCCCCTGACTGCCGAAGTGAAAGGGAAGAGATCCTGCAGATGTTGGTCTTGAAACCAACAGTAAGGGGGATCAGGTATGAAAAAGTCCTTTACAAAGGACTCCAAGACAAAAACAAGCAGTTAACAGTGCAGGGGTAGCTCCACTACAAGTTTTTTTTTTTTAACTAGAGATAGGCTTTAAAGCAGAATCAGAATTGGTATCCACAAATCCATACTACCCTATTTGTAGTAGGAATGGATCTCCTGTGGTGCATTATTGTGTGTTGTGTCACACGTTAATGTGCACCATGTAAAGGAAGCCCATTCTTTATGCTTACTCGCCACATCAGACCAAAAACCCACACATTACCTTTTTATAATAACACATGGTCTGTGGAACATTGTTCCTTTAAGCCTCCTACTGAACAGTGCACACACAGAGCAGGTACTTTGTGATAACACAGTAATGCATGGATTTTGGTGCATGTTCCCACATTGCACAAGTGTAAAATGTTTGTCGACCTAGAAACATATCCACTGTCATTTGGCACAGTCTCCATTAATGTCCCATAAAGTGACTCTGCCATGACAAAGCCATATAAGCCACGATTGCTGATGTTTTGGCTCCAATGCTTTCTGAATCCCTGACCTGGAACAAGTATAGAGATCAGGTATTCAGACACTTTTCTGACCCTCATTACAGCGTACATGTCCTGGGTTTGTGATGCAAATGTTTTGAAGCCAGACACACAGGCATTTTTGGAAATTGACCAGTAATGGCAGCTACATCACACTTTTATCATGTCAGAGTCACTTTAAGTCACAATTACATTACATGGGGTTGAATACCATATGGCTTTATAATGAGCGAACAGAGAACAATTGTTTTTGAAAGGAAGGCTTTTTTTTCCCGTCTTTTCTACTCAGGAGATTTTAAATGTGCAAATAAAATTCATTATATGACTCACAAGAAAGGCTGTCCTTGGAAAGTTTTAATTAGATTTAGTTTGTTGTTCTCAGTACTTTGGTTGTGCAACTGTAAAATGACTGAAGCTAAGTAACCAAAAAAAAGAAATAGATGTCACCATTTGACATTTGGTCATTGAACATTGTAGAGTCAGGCTGCAGTGGTACATATTCATGGGCCGATTAAGTGTTTATTTACAATGGATCTAAATAATGTATATCCTACAACTAGAACATCTTTCTGACTACAGTATTTTTAATGAACATAGTAAACCTTCATTACTTGATTCACTTCTGCCCCATTCTTACGCATCTTTGTGTGAATCCTGAAATACTATTGTGACTACTTATAAAGCAAAGGTTTTTGTGTTTCCTTCAGAGCCAGATAAGAAGCACAGTCCTTGACCCTAAGAAAACATTCCTCAGTAGTTTAGAATAGCTGGCAGAAGACTTGAGCTCTCTAATCACACAAATGGCTCCTTTCCAATGGGAACTGCTCTAAGCGGTGCCAAAGAAACGGCATGGTTGCTGCTGAGTAAACAGCAATGCTAATTTCAAAATGAAAAATTCCCGAAACAGCATTTGTCCTCTACTTAAGGTGCCATTAAACTTTGATGGCGTTCAGGAGTTACTAGAAGCCAAGCACATGAGCTGCAGTAGTGTGCTGTAAAATACACCATTTAGTGATTCATGCTTTATGCTTATACCTTTCTGAATTCACAACTTAGTTATTAGCATTAGAATTGTTAAATATGATTACTATTGTTGTTCTTTGCTATTAACACAGGTGCTAAAGGCTTACTGACAATATAGTTGTGTGGAGAACACTTAAAAGAGAAGTAGAGCAAAACCTATTTTTTTTTTGATGGATACTGACAATATTGTCAGGATACACCTGAATGCCTGACTTACAGGTGGCTCTGCCTCTCTAGAGCCAGAGCCATCTGTGCGCACCCCCACCCCTGTATGTCCCTCCAATGAATTCTGGAGGCAGGAAGGGGAGGGGGGAGTCCCTGTGGGGAGCGGTGACTGACAATTGCTGCTCTCTGCTGTTACATGATTGCTTAGCTCTGAAAATATAGAGCTGGTGTGTGACACCTGCAGTGTCCTGTGCTGGCTCTATGTGATGGGAAGAGTATATTTTTCTCTCCCAGAACTTATTTAAAAGAGCAATCTGAGCCCAATAGGCATCCAGTAGTCAGTAGAGTTTTAAAAAGTACTGAATGTTTGGCTTTTTCTGTGAAATAATATGCTCTAATGTCCATTTCTTGTTTAAAGGCCTACATGTCCTTGTCAAAATGTGGCCTAGTAAAAGTGCTTAAATACTGTGCAAGGAGTCAGTAAAATATTTTGCTGGCTTTTTCTATGAAATACTTACACTCTAATGTTGATTTCTTGAATAAAGTTTTTTGGTGTCTCACTGTCAAAATGCGGCCTAGTAAAAGTGTGTAAATAGTGTGCATGCAGTCAGTACAATAGTTTGCTGGCTTTTTCTGTAATAAAATTCACACTCTAGTGTTAATTCTTTAGTAAACATTTTCTGGTGTCTCCTTGTCAAAACATTCCATAGTAAAAGTGTGTAAATACTGTGCATGCAGTCAGTACAATAGTGTGCTGACTTTTTTTCTGTGAAATAATACACTTTAATGTCCATGTCTTAATTAAAAGCTACATATCCCTGTCAAAATGCAGCATAGTAAAAGGGCTTATATTCCATGCTTTTTATGTGAAATAATTACACTCAAATGTAGACTTTTTGATTAAAAGCTGTCTGGTGTCTTCTGCTGAAAATGCAGCCTACTGAAGCTGCTTACATACTGCGCATGGAGCCTGAACAATACTTCTGGCTGTTATCTCTGAAATAATACACTATTTTTCATTTCATGATAAATACTGCGCAGACTTTGCAACCTATTAAAAAGGCTGACATAGTATGGCCACTCACTTGCGTCTCTCGCCTCTTTGCATACAAGTTGTTAGAGCTGATCCGCAAAGTAGCTGACAATTAATGAGAAAGTAAACCTGTCAGTGGGACTTACAATGATAATATGGGCATTACATTGGCCTAGTGGTTAGCACTTCTGCCTTGTAGCTATGGTAGCCCCCAGTTTAAATTTTAGTCAGGACACTATCTGAATGGAGTTTGCATGTTCGGTGATTGTGTGGGTTTCCAGTTTCCTCCCACAACCACAAAACATGATGCAAGGTTAATTGTATCCTATCTAAATCTGCCCTAGTGTGTATGTATGCATATGAGATAGGGACTTTAGACTCTTTGAGGGCAGGGACCGATGTAAATGTACAGTATGTAAAAGCACTGTGTAAGTTGTTGGTGGTATATAAACACCTCACATGCTGCATAGTTATGTGTGGTGTAAATGAACAAGACGAGTAAACACATACAGACAGTTCAGTAGGTGCAAATAATAATAATAATTTTTTGGCAGAGGTGATTGATGTGTTGCTGTGGAGGAAAGAGGCATACAATACAGGAAATATGGGCTATTGCAGACTCAGGGGATGAGAATGAAGAGAGGACTGTGTCTACAGTCCTGTGCTGTAGCTCCCTCTATAAGAAGGCTTCTATCTGCAAGCTTACAGCCAGCACAAATAGAAAAAATTGTGCTTTTATTTCCCAACCACAGCACGAATCACAGTGGGACCAAAGGACTATATGAACTTGGTCCGCTCCGGGATTTAATAATGCATTTTAAGTTCTATTGATACTTCTTCTTTAGGTTTAGGGAAGTACAAGTAAGGGTTAAGTAACACGTTTTAGGAATTATTTTAATGTTAGCTCCTAGGCCACCAATTTTAGGTAAAT